GAGTAGACTGGAGAAATGGTGTCTGATATCCTTTCATTGCTCACATGAGTTCTACTGTAGATGTTTAAAGGTGCAGCGTGTAATTTTTAGCGGCATCTAGTGGTGAGATTACGAATTGCACCCAACGGAAGTTACGGTGGCCGACAGGAAGTGATGTCGTCGTCTGAGACCGCAGAGAGTAGCCAGTTCAGCATTGAGGTTTCTTTACAAAGATAAATTAAGAAATTAGGTTTACTTAATTATTCAGTATAACGATATGTATGTTATTGTGAATATTATTGCTACTTGTTCATGATTGTGTCAGTGTTTTAGCTCGCTTCTTTACATGAAGAACAACATAGTGACGAAACACATTTGTCCGTTTAGGGCCACCGTAGAAACATGTCGATATAAGGAGACCCGCGGTGTGTGTAGAGAGAAATGCTCATTCTAAGCTGATAAAAACATAACAGTTTATTAAGTAAGGTCTTTAAACACCACTGAAAACATAGGTATGCAGGGACGTGCACAGGGGGGTTGCTCAGGTTGCCCGGGCAACTGCCCATATGCCCTTCTCAACTCAGGTTGCCCTTCCAAAAAAAAAAAAAAAAAATCGTTACAATGGATGCAGAATTTCACGTAGGCCTAGATAAAAAATAAATAAAAAAAAACATCGCAAAGCCTCATTCACTTCCATTCGGGCACCGAAAGTGAAAGTCAATAAGGGAAGGGCAAACTGTTTACGTGGCTGCAGCGCTGCACGCGACCATAGACTGCACGCAACCGGTGCGTAAGGCCCCGCAAATTACTTAAGGCCCCGCCTCCATCTCGTGTCATAGCGCGTCAATTAATGTGTACAACATCCATGACAAAATGAAGCGAAACTATCCTTCTGGTCACGAAAAGAGGAAGAAGAAAAAAACCATGAAAGTGAATTGCGGGAACAACAATCAGGTAAACTTGTGTTCTCTCCTCTCTAAGATGTCAGCAAAGTTTGATGTTTTTCGGTCTTGCTAACCTAGCTGGGCAGGCAGTGCATCTCTTGCATCACTTTGTGCCTGACAAAAGTGAGAGTAAAATACAATTATTTATTATGTTTGTTTTTGATAAACGACAAAGTGCAACAGTGTTTGTTTACTGCAGCTCGGAAAACATAACCGCTTCGCGTGTGTTATCGTGCGTTCATGTGCGTGCACGAAATGAAACTCGCATTTTTCAAGCAGAAATATGTGGAGACCAGACATACTGTACAATACATGCACGTGAATGATGGCACTCCCAATCAAAGTACACATTATAAAACAAGACACTGATTATCTAGTCTCAGTGTTAAAAACTCTAAACAACTACACTAATTATGCAAGATAGAAAGCAATGTATTGACAATTTGACATTGATTGACTATTGATTTAGGCTATATTGAATTTAAAATGTTGATTAGCTGGACATACTGGTCAATATGGATGCATATCCCTCAGTAAATAATAACCATAAATCAAGAATTGCTTCAACATGCATAATAAAAAATAAAAAAATCATACTGATGCCGAAAATACCCAGGCTGTAGAGAGAACCAAAGTTAATCCCAAAAGCCAAAGCTCAGGGTTATAATTTATTATTTTCTTCTTATTTATGTTTACGTTAATATTCACTTGTTATCTTAACATTCTATAGAAAATACTCTATTCAATAAATATTGTTTGTTTGAACCTCATTCTGTTCTATATTGTTGTACTTATTCTTTGACTGTTTAAAGGAGGGAGGATTGTATGGGAGCGCTGAAGTGTCAGGTGTGACTGTGGCAATGGCAAATGGTTTACATAGCTCACGACATCACGGGTCAGGTAGAGGCCCCTTAGCAGAATTTTGCTTAGGGCCCCAGGGAGGTCAGGATCGGCACTGGGTTTAGCAGTCGATTCTGTTCCCTACCGGAATTCCTGTTCCCTTTACGCAATCATACTACAAATCATGCGTAGTTGCCCGTAGCCTACCATCACAACTGAATACGAGCAAGAAGCACAACTGAATGTACGGGAAGCCAAAAGGTTAAAAAAGGATTTTATTTTTTCCCGAAATCTAAGCGTTTTTTATTTATTTATTAGAAGCGAGTTTTTCCATTCAATCCAGATTATTTCTTTTCAAATTAAAAATAAATAAATCAATAATGATAATTAAAAAAACAATAAGATGAGGAACTCTTTTTCTCATGCGTCTCATCTCTGACGTTTTGCAATCTTTATAAATAATAATAAGACCATAATATGAGGCATTGCGTTTGGACATAAACACGGTCTGGGTGCCTTTTTTTCAGGTCAGAGCAACTGCCCCTCAAAATTCCTGTGCACGTCCCTGTAGGTATGTATATGATATTGCATTTCTATACACAGATCCTCCTAAATATTACACAATGCACCTTTAATGAATTTGGATAGCAAGAAGAATTTAATGAGAAATTAGTTGATATTGAGATCTTTGACTTTTGATTGCAGAGTTTAATTGTTAAATATCTTGGCAACTATTTTCACATCTACATTCATTCTGCAGCTGATTTTTAAATAAGCAAAATTAAAATTGAATCAGACATGTTCGATTATAAATTATAATCTGATGGACATAAATGGGACATGCATTTACATTTACATTTCTGCATTTGGCAGACGCTTTTATCCAAAGCGACTTTTGCATGCCTACACTCGGCATAAATCATGAAATTATTATTATTATTAATTGCATTATATGTAGTATTAGATCGCAATGTGCAAAAAAACATTATTTTAAAATATGTATTTGTGTAATATACACTACCAGTCATTGATAATAATCATAAATGTTTCTTGAGCATCAGATCCTCATATTAGAGTGATTTCTGAAGGATCATGTGACACTGAAGACTGGAGTAATGATGCTGAAAATTCACAGGAATAAATGACACTTTACTATATATTCACATAGAAAAAAACATTATTTTAAATTAATAATATTTCACAATTTTACTGTATTCTTGATCAGACTTGATCAGAATATTCCAAACTTTTGACCTGTAGTAAAATATAATGTTAATGCAGAGATTTAGGACAATAAAATCTGTTCAGGACTGCCCCTGTTCTTACTTCTTCTGACTCTTGTTTTTAGCGTGTGTCTCCCGCCGGGAGTCGCTGCTGTGCGCCGGCGAGCGAGACGCTTTCTCTCGAACCCTCGGTCTCCCGCTGCGTCTCCCGGACGACTCTGAGACCGGCCCGTCGTCCTCTCCCGGCGGGAACGCGGATCCTCCGGGACTCTTGGGAAGAGCGGGGTGATGTTTCACACCTCTCAGATGAGGAGAAGCGCTCGAAGGAGACGGAGCCAGAGATCCAAGCTTCTGTAGATGAAGGATAACCAACAAACCAAAGGGGAAAAGAAATAAATGTGAAAAAAAAACAAAAACAGAAAGAGAACAGTGAAATTAGACTCTTTTTCCTCCCGGGTGAAAGAGCGTTATCGTGTACTTGCCAAAAAAATATCTAAAAGAAAGTGCTAGGATTGTTCTCTGGCTTATAGACAGTCCTCTATTGTGCAGCGCATGCAATACTCGGCATGCAAAACCATAATGATTTGAAAAGAATAGTCCCGAAAAAGAAAATCTAAACAAAAGAGGGGAAAGAGGGAAAATAAATATATATATATATGCGTAACTGTGAAAGAGAAAATAAGTTCAGAGAGAGTATAAAGAGACTGGAATATATACAGTAGAGAAAGAGAAAGAGGACTTTTTCAATTTTCAGAAAGAGCTACAAACAAAAAGGTGAAAAATAAAACTAGAAAATCAAAATAGACAACTTGACGGAACATCACAGAAATGGAAGGAACGAAATAAAGATTCACAAGAATAGATTCAATCGAATTAGAAAACATTTGGTCTTCTACTCAATAGAACTTGCTTGTGGATTTGTTTTGTCCTGCAGACAATTGCTGAGATGTGAACAGCGACCCATTTCCTGTTTTAATAGCTTTTTAAATGGTTATTCTGTTTTTCAACTCCCTTTTGGTTAACATCCACTTACCAATAAAGTGGTATTCCCTCCTTTAGTAGGTAAGGTATGAAGAGAAGGGAAAAGTGGGGCAACATAAGTGCATCATTAGATTCACAAAATGCAAGAGAAAAAGACACAACACCCTTCCCTGGATAGTGAGTATGAAACAATGCATGAAAATCAAACCAAAAAGAGAGAAAAAAAAAAAAAAAACACACACACACACACAAAATAAATCAAATTCAAACGGATTTCACGGTGTGTGGGCTGAGTGCATTTTATCGGTGCGACTTTAAAACTTATTAAACGGTGCGAATGCTCTCGCTTCACCAGTTTCTCAGTAAAAAAAAACAAAAAAACCTTTGATTGAATGTGCATTACAGGTTATCCATCAAGTTAACTTAAAGACCCCATGAAATGGCTCAATGAGCTGCTATTTCTGATTACCTAATGTTGGCTTGTGTTTCTTATTTATAACCCTATACGTCGAGTCTTTAACGACCCGGGACGTCATTCACTACTCATTCGCTATTCACTGCGTAATTCGTTTTTAAAGTAAGACATCAAACTTATTAGTAATCCTCAATCTATTCCTTCTAAACAATATAACAAGAAAAAAAAAGATAAAATAATGTCTGTTTTCTGTTATACGGTCACTAGCGACCCGGGGAATGTAGTATTTTTTATAGTTGAATCCCTGATGAGTGCAGTTTACCTTTAATCCTCAAGGTGGCGATGTCTGATACACAATGATAATGTGATGTTTCACTCATAATTACGGCAGGCAGTAAACAAAAGATCACACTAGTATCATTAGCACACTTGAAATGGCTTGGCGATTTACTGCAGAGCAAGTACTATACAAATCAAAAATTAGTGTTGGTGGATTTGGTGAAGAGATTAAATATTGATTTTGAAGGCAATAGTTTTGAGAATATGGTTGAGATGGCGAATATGAGTCAGATGCTGAATGTACTGGGAAATGATGGTGAAAAGCATCAGCTCAAATTCAAGTTCCAAAAGGTATCAAAATATGCTTTATTTTATTCTTTTGTAATTGTTATTAAAATATCAGGAGAGTTTTATACTATTGTGGCGGTTAGAGATCCATACGGGTCACTAAAGACCCAAATATGTAATAATGACTGGCGAAACATTCATGCATTTAAGGGTTAAACAGCAAAAACTTATCAAGGACATGTTTGTCTCATAATGGATCCCAAAATCAAAGGAAGGATTTAAGAAATTGCATTTTGCATAAAGATGATGAAGCCTATTTTAGGGCATTTTTCATGACACATTTTCAGCACACAAAAAAACTTTACTTTGATGCAAAAAAAAATACACATAAATAAAGAATCATATATTATTTAAATTAAAAGGTATTCTACAACATGCATACATATTTATTATTGTATAATTTGTGGTTAATTATATATTTTTCAAATATTTTGGGGTATAATGTGTTCTGGACTTGAAAAAAGCATATTTTCTTAGTGATAGCTGCTATTTACACTCAGTCAAAATAGGAAAAGATTATATTTACAACAAGTGAAAATAGCATATTTAAATACCTCTCAGATCTGAGATGTGATGGGAAAAGGGAGTAGAGCGTATTCGGCAAAACGGATTCGAACTCGGGACGATTTGCGTCAAAACTTTCTGACACACTACTGTTGATAAACTAGCATCTTTAGTCTGGCCAGACGTCAGTGGGTGGAGTTAGTGTAAATAGCCTCTGCCAACAAGTCGACACTCGGTTAGTTTTAAGTTAGCAAAACAACATTTGACTACTTGATTGCTTTTATAATTCCAGACACTTCCAGTTTGTTAGTTTGTGTTTGGGAAAGGAAATAGCCTTTAGAACGAGTGTTAGTGCAATTAAAGACAGGCTAATCATGATTTGTTTCTGCTAGTTGTTTCGGTGGGGTATTTTTAATTTACGGAGAGGAACATAGTCATTCTAGAGAGCATTTAATTAGACAAAACATGTCGATTTCTAGTAGTACACAAGCATTTGGATGAACTTAAAGCCACACATGTTAGCTGAAAGCTACCAAACTTTGATTTGGATTTCATGGGGTCTTGAAATAGACTTCAAAACATCCCTAAGACTGACATAGGGCTAATGAAATATTATTTATGAGCAAAGCCATGTCTATTCCATCTGTTTCTTTAACCACAATGCTGTAGATTAAAACAGGGACATTATAATGATGATTATTAGCATCAAAAGGAAGCAGATTTCTCAGACACGAACTTAACCAAACAAAAAAAAAACTTATAATACCATATATATATATCGGATGAAAACAATAAACCTCAAATACTTCAGAAGCAGCCCTTATGTATCAAAAAAATCAAAATAAATACATAATTAAATGAAATAAAAGGAGGGAAAGTGACCAAATCATATGACACGTACCATTTCACCAAAGACAAAAGGAATGCGACACAGACAGGAAATGCATTCTACCGAAAAATATTAATAATAATAATAATAATAATAAACAAAACGAAGACAAGAGATGGACCTGTGGGGAGGACAGTGTACTGAAGACTGAAGCATGAAAGCAAAGGTAGATATCAGATTGAAAAAAAGGGCGAAATAGAGAATGAAAGAAGAGCAAACAGTTCTAAAAGGAAAACAATGAAAATCAACCCGCCAACCTTTGGTTTTCCTCAGATAAACAAAGAGAAAAAGAGAGAGAGAGACACGGATGTCAAGCTAGGGTGCTTGTCACATTCTCCACGTGCGTAGGCAGAGCGTTACCTACCTTCCGCTTCAATCAGTGACACGTATGCAATATCAACAAAACAAAGGAAGAAAAAGGAAAAACAAAAAGGAGAAAGGAAAATTCTCCGCAGCGAAATGGGAAAAAGACAATGAATTCTTTTAGTATCCAGGCTAAGATAATTGATCCACAGACTAAGGAGACAATTCCAACAAAAAACCAAGGCAAACAAAAAAATAAAAATAAAACGTTTTGAGACAAAAACCCCCGAAACCAAAACAAACTGAGAAATCGATCTGAAATAAGAAAGTCGGAAAGCAGTCTGTCTTTTTCGCTCGGACACATGTGCACATCGTATGATCTCAACAAATCGAGTTTGCTAGGAGGAACGTAAATATTGATGGCCATGCATGTGGAATGTGGTTTGATGGGGAAAGAGAAAGCATGTCGGGACAACGGACAGCACAGATGAACGGGTGGAGGGAGAGGGGTGTTGGGTGGAGAGTGGTTTCTTCTAAGATGGAGGACTAACATCTCAAAGGGACCCCAGTCACGTTCAGAAAGCCGTATTCGTATTGGTCTGCATGCACAATGAGAATTTAGAGCTTTTAGTGTATTTGCTCTCAGCAATTGTCAAGAGTCTTTCAACAACGGGAGCAAAGAAGCCACATTGGGTTGGGTTCAGAGAATGGTGAATAATCCAAATGGCTTGGGTCCCTTTTAGTGTAACAACTTTACTTATCGGGCCTATTTAGTCGGCTAATGTTTACTGAGCGTCCGTTTGTCCCCGTCAAACATCTAGACAAACATTACACCACTCAAATATTGACAAGAAGGAAACAGACTATACAATATATATATATCAAGTGCTACTGAAATAATATACAATTACAAGTGAGCAATAGAAACCATTTCAATGAAAACCGTCGTAAATCACCAATGGCACTGAACCGGCTCTCAGTAGAAAGATTTGACAGCCAAAAGAGAGAATTCATGAATCTGTCGCCTGTGTGACCACAGATGTCAATCAATAACTAGATGCTGCAATCTGCACACTGGTTTGATTTTTAGGAGAACGTTGCAGAATTACACATAATCAGATTAGCATCTGGTCTAATTTTCATAACGCATCAGCATGAATACACCATTTTGGAAAGGTCAATATGATGAACAAAGTCACTTTCAAGGAAAGTCTGTTCAATCGGAGACGAGGGAATCCTGAAATCTCAAAAACCGAACTCTTAAATGACATAACTTTACTATGACTTTAACTTCAATCAGCGATTTGCTCTTTTATTTAGAAGGCGGGGCTTATTCCACCATAATGCACGTTGCTCTTTCTCCCATTCACAAGTAATATTAGTGCACTATCTTTCTATATCTAAAGTCTTAATAAATTCAAATTTTATTTCCACACAAAAAAAATCATACAAATCTGCACATTGCGGATAAAAATTAAACAGTATTTGTAAAACCCTTGTATATATCATCAAAATAGAGCTCTGACTGCTTCTAATTAAAGCTGTAAGGCCATAAATAAATAAAATGTACAAATATATTATATATTTTTGGATATTACACATAAAACAAGGTTTGTACAATAAATAAAAACTGATAATGCCGGGTAAAAGAACAGACATATTATGTTTTCGGGTATAAAATAAATGTAGCCATACAAAAACATTATATTACATATAAAAACATAATATAATTGTTAGTTTACCCAACATCATTAGGTTTTTTTATGGTATTTATTGTAGAAAAGTTGTAATATCATGTAAATTAAAAAAATACATGATTTAATTTACATTTTATTGGAACATTGTAGTTTCTCTAATTATGCTCAAATAGACATTTTACTATTAATATTAACAGATATATTATGTTTTTGGGTATAAAATAAATGTAGCCATACAAAAACATTATATTACATATAAAAACATAATATAATTGTTAATTTACCCAACAGGTTTTTTATGGTATTTATTGTAGAAAATTTGTAATATCATGTAAATTAAAAAATTACATGATTTAATTTACATTTTATTGGAACATTGTAGTTTCTCTAATTATGCTCAAATAGACATTTTACTATTAATATTAACAGATATATTATGTTTTTGAATATAATATCCAGTTGATTTGTTATCTAGCCATATAAAAAATATCACTGTATATCCAAAAATATATCTGTTCATTTATTAAATGATATCAATTTATTGAAAAATGGTTGTTGTGTTGTAATTTTCATTATTGTAAATGACTAATCTGATAACAAAAGACACACTCTATAAACTGGAGAGAAAACTGAAATATTGCCTATAATGTTTGGATCTGTTGACCTTTCCGAGACGGTGGAGCCGACGACGGATCCGGATCAGCCAAATGCAGCATCCACAGATTTCTTATCTGTGATTGTACCATTCAGACTCATTCATCCTCTCAGCAGAACCAGGAATGACAGCTGATTGGCTAAAAGCGTCTGAGGGATTGGCCAATGAAAACCATCGGCTCATGATTGATAATTCTTCACCTTACATTACAGAACATGATCAGTATGTACAATCTTATCGCAGGGTCACAGATCATCGGCTCTTTGAACACCTTATACACATCTGGAAAAGGGTGGCTACGGTAAAACTGAGCAGAACATGAGAGTTTCAACTGTATTGACAAGAAAAGACATACCCATTTAATCTACTCGATCCAGTTCCAAATCATATGAGTGCTTTTTACACAAACAAGACAGAAAAGTTTGGGCATTTATTCGTGGGAAGAGATCATGTGAATTCACAGAGGACAAGAAATCAACAAAACAGAGGGATGAATTGAGCAAATGAAAGAGAAAGAGAGCATGAGAACTTCTGAAAAACTGCATGCAAACCGTCCCAGTGTTTTAATGTGACCAGATACCTGTACAATCCCTCATTGCTAAGTCTCTCCAAACGCAGGTCAAGGTTTAGCTAAATAAATGAGGTCTTGTGCTCATTTTTGATATTGTGTGACTGTATGAATACATACAAGCGACGTCACGCATATTTAAACTATTTTAGCTGTTGCCATTCTTTCAGCACAGGTGCAATTAATCTGGTGCAATTACTATATAAAAGATGCTATCTTAGTGAATGTCTTTGAAATTTTGTGGGATACAATAAATAATACAAGATACGAAAAGCCTACAAACAAACGTGTGTTTTATACCTGAAGCTCATTAGCAGGAATATTAAAAATATCGGTAACACTTTACAATAAGGTCAAATTAATGCATTAGTTAACATAAACTTAAATGATGTTGTTAAATGATTTATTAATCTTTCTTGATGTTATATTTATTGTTTGTTCACACACTGAAAATACTAGAAAGCTAATTTAGCTACTAAAATCGTACCAAAAAGTGGATACTTCCGCCATTAGTTATAGGAACAATGAAAAGATTCCTCAAGTGTGAAAGCCCCTAATGTTGACTAATGAAACCTTAAGGTAAAGTGTCACCAAAATATCTATATTTAATCTGATCGAGGCATCAACATGCGTTCACAAATGTCTTTTTCATGGGACGTTTTCCAACCCCAGCCATCGAGTCACTGGCGATACATGCTTTATGTACATCAATAGTGGAAAGATCGGTGGCGGATGGAGCTGGTGCGTCCATGAAAACCCATATATTGCACATTGTTTAGTTTCCGATATATATACATATACAGGTGAAACTCGAAAAATTGAGAATATCGTGTAAAAGTTCATTTATTTCAGTAATTCAACTTAAAAGGTGAAACTAATATATTATATAGACTCATTACATGCAAAGTGAGATATTTTAAGCCTTTATTTGTTATAATTGTGATGATTATGGCTTACAGCTTATGAAAACCTTTTCACAATATTCTAATTTTGAATTTGGGGTTTTCATAAGCTGTAAACCATAATCATCAAAATTATAACAAATAAAGGCTTGAAATATCTCATTTTGCATGTAATGAGTCTATATAATATATTAGTTTCACCTTTTAAGTTGAAATACTGAAATACATGAACTTTTGCACCATATTCTAATTTTTCGAGTTTCACCTGTATATATAAAAAGATCCTATCGACCCTCAACATTTCCATTCATTCTCTTTCTAGAACTGAAAAAGTCAACATGGCTCATACGTGAAATAAAGCATGATGGACATCTGCCTCGACAAAACAAAAACCCTTCCCAACGAACACAAATATGGCTTGAGAACAGAAAAACTCACAAAATGGAGCCAAAGAGGGAAAAGAGATATATAGAGTCAGCTCACACAGTTGGACGAGGCGTGAGTGTGTGTGTGTGTGTGAGGTTATTTGTCTAAACGGCCGAAAACTGATGGAGGTAAAGTAGAGGAGACTACATACATCGTTCCCTTTATTCGCCTCCGTGTGATTGGCTCCAGAATCTTTGCCGTTGCGGACACGGACGCTGTGGTTCCCGTTCTGCCACGTGATTGGCTGGTCAGCGCTGGGGGACGGCGGGGGGGTCTGGGCCGAGTGACTTCCCTCCTGTTTGTGTCTGTCGTTCTTGCACTTTGCATTTGATCTGAGAGGTCAGATTGAAGACGGATTGATTGGAAGAGCACAATGAGAGCACAGTCCATCTCCTTACAAACAGGGCTTGACATTAACACCAGTCAAAAGCGTGTGTATTTCATCAGTGCTCACTCCTACTAGCCACTTTGGCTGGTTGAATTTTATATATAATATACACATTTTTCAATTGTAGTCTTTTAAGACAAGCATCTGAAATGATAAACTAAGTGCAATGTAGTGTTGTCAAAAATATAGATTTTTCGATGCATATCTATGGAGGGATTATTGGGTCAGATTGAAAACTAAAAGTCTAAAACTAAAAGTCTTAAACTAAAACTAAAAGTCTAAATTTGAAACTAAAAGTCCAAGAGGAAAATGAATTTGGTATTCAGGATTCGGCAATTGGTATTGGGCATTTGGTCATTTAGCCATTTAGGGATTTAGGATTGGGCATTTGAGGATTGAGGATTGAGGAGTGTATGCAAATAAGGAGGCGTGGCCCAAATACTGGAGGCTGGGTTTGAAATAGCTGGTGCGCAGAGGCACCTTAAGGACAGCAGAGGGCGCTCCCAGTGCTAAAGAGCACACTGGCAGAGCGTCCTCTTCAATATTAACAATGGCAAAGCCAGAGCTAGCATCTTTGTTGAGACAGGCGCTGGACGTTTTGGACCAAAAAAAGGCTTCCAGTAACGGTGGACAGGCTTCTTCCTCGACCAACACGTTTCCCTCGTCCATTTTACCAACACCGAACGTGCTTTGGTTTCATTACAGTGTGCTCCTTAGCACTGGGAGCGCCCTCTGCTGTCCATAAGGTGCCTCTGCGCACCAGCCATTTCAAACCCAGCCTCCAGTATTTGGGCCACGCCTCCTTATTTGCATACATTCCTCAATCCTCAAATGCCCCATCCTAAATCCCTAAATGCCCAATCCTAAATTCTAAATGGCTAAATGACCAAATGCCCAATCCTGAATACCAAATTCATTTTCGACTTAGACTTTTAGTTTTCGACTTAAGAATTTTAGTTTTAGACTTTTAGTTTTAGACTTTTAGTTTTCAATCTGACCCAATAATCCCTCCATACATATCGATACTGAAACGCTTCCAATACTCCTTTCCCACAGAAAATATACACAATACCAGCGTCTCTCTCTCTCTCTCTCTCTCTCTCTCATCTCTCTGACAGCGAGAGACACACAAACCCGCCTCCACTCACTCACTCGTTTAATTTGCTCCGGATGAATATTGATGCTGTTACAGGGCTTGAGTTTCGGCGTGGGATTGTGCGAACATAATTTTACTCATTCCCTCACACACCCAAAGTGCAGCATATAAAGCCATCTCTCAGGACTAAACTGAGATCTTTTTCGCTGCTTATTGCGCTTAAACAGTCAAACACACACAAAATAATGTCAAAATGCCGTTCTTGGCGAGTATTCACGTAAACACAGTCAGTTATTTTTTAAGTGGATGTAAGAAAGAAAACGCATGTGTAACAGTATATTGGGTCAGTGCGTCAGGTCTTAAAGTGACAGTAGCCTAATGCCAAGTTATGAGATGAGTATAATAAAAATATCTATGATAGTTTCTCCCTGTGGTTTTAATGTCAAAAATTGGCCAGTGAAAATGCTGAGTGGCTGGTAACCACTAGCCAGAGTTGCTGGTTAGCAAAAATGTCAATGTCACGCCCTGCTTCCAACAGTGTAAGAAGCTTTTCTGACTCCCCTTTCTGTGATGAAAGTGGTGACTAATACCACATTACCACAGTCTTATTGTAGTAACTATGGTATTTTGGTAGAAACTGTGGTAAGTGTGTGTGCGAGGGCCTGTGAAATGTAGATAAGAGGCACCTGCTGGGGGATCTGGAGAGGCTGGCGGTGGAGGAGACGGATCCACTGCGGGAACTACAGCAACTGCCTCTGTGCTGAGAACTCCTGCTGGGAGATTCGCCTGAACACCTGCGGGAAACACACAAACACACAGAGGTCACACACTCACACACTCCAGCCACAGCGCTTCAGTCACTCTGGCAGCAAACCATGGCCTATATGGCCTATGTTGTTGTGTTGGGTGTTGTGGGTGGTTTCCGGGGTGTTGCTATGCAGTTGCTAAAATGTTTAGACTGGTTGTCAGGGCATTGCTAGTTGGTTGCTAGGATATGCTATATAGTTACTAGGGTGTTGCAAGAGGTTGCCAGGCTGTTTTTATGCGGTTGCTAAACAGTTCTGAGTGGTTGTCAGGGCATTGCTAGTTGGTTGCTAGGGTGTTCTAGATGGGTTGCAAGGGTGTTGTTATGCATTTGTTGAAATATTTTGACTGGTAGTCAGTGCATTGCTAATGGGTTGCTAGGTTGTTTTAGATAGTTTCTAGGGTGTTGTAGGTGGTTGCCAGCGTGTTGCTATGCAGTTGCTAAAATGTTTCGAGTGGTTGTCAGTGCTAGGTCGTTGCTAAGGTATTCTAGATGGCTACTAGGGTGTTGTGGGTGGTTGCCAAGGTGTTGCTATGCAGTTGCTAAAATGTTTCGAGTGGTTGTCAGTGCTAGGTAGTTGCTAAGGTATTTTAGATGGCTACTAGGGTGTTGTGGATGGTTGTCAGGGTGTTGCTATGGAGTTGCTAAAATGTTCTGAATGGTTGTCAGTGCATTGCTAGGTGGTTGCTAGGGTGTTTTAGATGGCTACTAGGGTGTTGTGAGTGGTTGTAAGTGCATTGCTAGGTGGTTACTGTTTTAGATGGTTTCTAGGGTGTTATAGGTGGTTGCCAGGGTGTTGCTATGCAGTAGCTAAAATGTTTCGAGTGGTTGTCAATGCTAGGTAGTTGCTAAGGTATTCTAGATGGCTACTAGGGTGTTGCTATGCAGTAGCTAAAATGTTTCGAGTGGTTGTCAATGCTAGGTAGTTGCTAAGGTATTCTAGATGGCTACTAGGGTGTTGTGGATGGTTGCCAGGGTGTTGCTATGCAGTAGCTAAAATGTTTCGAGTGGTTGTCAGTGCTAGGTAGTTGCTAAGTTATTCTACATGGCTACTAGGGTGTTGTGGGTGGTTGCCAGGGTGTTGCTATGCAGTTGCTAAAATGTTTCGAGTGGTTGTCAGTGCTAGGTAGTTGCTAAGGTATTCTAGATGGCTACTAGGGTGTTGTGGATGGTTGTCAGGGTGTTGCTATGGAGTTGCTAAAATGTTCTGGATGGTTGTCAGTGCATTGCTAGGTGGTTGCTAGGCTGTTTTAGATGGCTACTAGGGTGTTGTGAGTGGTTGTCAGTGCATTGCTAAGTGGTTACTGTTTTAGATGGTTTCTAGGGTGTTGTAGGTGGTTGCCAGGGTGTTGCTATGCAGTAGAGAAAATGTTTTGAGTGGTTGTCAGTGTATTGCTAAGTGGTTACTAGGGTTATTTTAAATGGTTAATAGGGTGTTGTGGGTGGTTGCAAGGGTGTTGTTATGCATTTGTTGAAATATTTTGACTGATAGTCAGTGCATTGCTAATGGGTTGCTAGGTTGTTTTAGATGGTTTCTAGGATGTTGTAGATGGTTGCCAGGGTGTTGCTATGCAGTTGCTTAAATGTTTTGAGTTGTTGTCAGAGCTAGGTCGTTGCTATGGTATTCTAGATGGTTCCAAGGTGCCAGTTTACAATCCCAAGGCAAAAATTACAACTCTGATTGCTTAAAAACGTAAAATAATTAAATGAAATAAACTCTATAATCAATGCATTGGATTTTCATGGTCAGATTGAGGCCTCGTAATACTGAACATTTGATCTTTTAAAAAAAGTAAACATCACTCACCTCTTCTTCTGTTTGCTCTTGTCTTTGTGTTTGATTTTGGGGCTGCCAGATCTGAAAGGAGAAAACAAGCAAGAACTGAAAACAGGAGTGGAGCATAAAAGTATTCAATTCAAGTGTAATCGAAGGATTTATATCAGTCTGATGCAAAACAGACGAAAGTTGTGATTACAAGGGAGCTCTGAGCTCTTAAAAAAACATATGATCATTGAATGTGACAATGTTTGCCAGGTTAGTGGCACTGGATATTTAAATATACCTAGAACTTTATACAGAATAAACTAGGCCTCCATGAGCAAATCTGAATTTGACTCTCACAACGTCTGTGAAATGATCAATACTTATTACTTTTCTGCTATTTTCTTCAGTGCTGTCTGTACAACCGCTCAAAGAGACTATTACTGAATGAGTGTTTTCTAGGCCAGTCTATTGTATCATCGAGTCATCGAACAGCACATATAAGAAATGAACTAAACAAAATGATCCATTTACTTTTCTGGCAATAGACGGCTTTTGAACAGACTTTAAAGTCTGATAAGAACCCAGAAGAGTTCCCAAATCATAATAACATCTATTCTAAAGCATATCTCATATTAGCTCAGTGTTTTACCTGTGTCTCCTCTTCCTCCTCGAGCCAGATGTGGACCTGAGACAGAGGCATTAGATGTTAGATTGTGATCACCGGCTGTTCAGGGGATTTAAAATACACTTAAAAATGTCTAAATGTCCTAAAACAATAGATCTAGTGTTGATATTTCAAGGAAAATTGGCTTCATTCATCCACTACAAATCACATGAACACCAGCTGATTCAAAGACAAGTAAAGTTAGCAAAGAGAAAAGAAAGATGATACTGTAAATCTAATGTAATGGCATTCACACATTTTTAAGTGTGATTACTCAAATGTTTTTGGGGTCACTGTATGTTGTGATAAAGACAGGACAACAGTTACAGTGCATCTGTATTAATAGCCTTGGTTGCAAGATGTGGGATTCGTAAGTGTGATTTAATACACCATATACAGGTGAAACTCGAAAAATGAGAATATGGTGCAAAAGTTCATTTATTTCAGTAATTCAACTTAAAAGGTGAAACTAATATATTATATAGACTCATTACATGCAAAGTGAGATATTTCAAGTCTTTATTTGTTATAATTTTGATGATTATGGCTTACAGCTATGAAAACCTTTTCACAATATTCTAATTTTGAATTTGGGGTTTTCATAAGCTGTAAGCTTATAATCATCAAAATTATAACAAATAAAGGCTTGAAATATCTTACTTTGCATGTAATGAGTCTATTTAGTATATTAGTTTCATCTTTTAGGTTGAATTACTGAAATAAATGAACTTTTGCACGATATTCAATTTTTTGAGTTTCACCTGTAAACCACAGTTTCACCTTTAAATGACTTTGCTCAATCCATACTGAAAGGAGAAATACCTGATTTTCCTTCTACGTTCACTTTTTGACTCTCTATCACACTTTTGCCCTCACACACACACACACACACACACACACACACACACACACACACAGTCTGACAGTACTGAAACTGCTTTAAAAAGACATCTAACACAGGAATCCACCATGCTTTCGAAGTGTGTACACTATTATATAAGCATCGTCAGTCCTCTTTTGGCATTGGAAAAGTGCAGAAGAGGTAAAGTTGGTAAAGTCAGGGTAACGTGAGATAAATAAAAATGTGTGTGTAATAATAGAAAGACAGACAGAAATACGAGCATCTAAAATGCTGAGACATCCATCTATTAATAATTAGGACATTTTAAGGCTGCAAAGGCACAAAATTCAGTAGATATTCCTGACATAACAATATCATGAATATTTTATGAATGCGGAAAGGTATTTGTGTAAAACATGCTTTTATATTGTACATGTCTATTTTTGGAGCTTGAGTTTAGTTGCCCTACTCCTTGATGTTTCTAGTCAAAATGCTGATAATAATAAAATATTAACAAGAACAGTTTAAATCTGCCCAAAAAGAGCCATTTTCTGTCAAAAATGAAAAATAAAATTAGACTGTGTTCTGAATCTGATGTACACAGTAAATACTGTATAATGCCAACTAAATGATAAAAAGGAAAACAATGTGTACATATGTTGCATATTTAATTTAGTCTGAAATACAAATATTATTTTCCAACTTTGTGTGCAAATATCTAAACTGTTATTTGGCAATAGATAAATAACAGTGGTTAATATCATGGTTGGTTTATTCCTGTCATTAGAAATGGAAGTTCAGATTTAGTGCATTGCATTGTGGGGTGCATTAGCTGTTTTACACACACGTTTTGGCTAATGTAGTGGGTTATGTTGGTATTTGTATTGGTTTTCAGAGTGAATGCCGTGAAAAACACACAACACACATCTAAAATGGGAAAAAGCATTCAGGTTGACTGTACAAATAGATTTGACAAGAAACAGAGGTATATTTTTTCAGACTGCTGAAAGCTACAGAACAGAAGCTGCGATTCACAGACACAACTGGATCCAGGCAGAGAACGGTGGATTTACAGTTATTATTGTGTGTCAATATGCTGAGTTTAGGGGTAAAATCATACCCTATACACTCACCTAAAGGATTATTTGGAACACCTGTTCAATTTCTCTGTTGATTATCTAATCAACCAATCACATGGCAGTTGCTTCAATGCATTTAGGGGTGTGGTCCTTGTCAAGACAATCTCCTAAACTCCAAAATGAATATCAGAATGGGAAAGAAAGGTGATTTAAGCAATATTGAGCGTGGCATGGTTGTTGGTTCCAGGCGGGCCGGTCTGAGTATTTCACAATCTGCTCAGTTACTGGGATTTTCACGCACAACCATTTCTAGGGTTTACAAAGAATGGTGTGAAAAGGGAAAAACGTCCAGTATGCGGCAGTTCTGTGGGCGAAAATGCCTTGTTGATGCTAGAGGTCAGAGGAGAATGGGCCGACTGATTCAAGCTGATAGAAGAGCAACTTTGACTGAAATAACCACTCGTTACAACCGAGGTATGCAGCAAAGCATTTGTGAAGCCACAACACGCACAACCTTGAGGCGGATGGGCTACAACAGCAGAAGACCCCACCGGGTACCACTCATCTCCACTACAAATAGGAAAAAGAGGCTACAATTTGCAAGAGCTCACCAAAACTGGACAGTTGAAGACTGGAAAAATGTTGCCTGGTCTGATGAGTCTCGATTTCTGTTGAGACATTCAGATGGTAGAGTCAGAATTTGCCGTAAACAGAATGAGAACATGGATCCATCATGCCTTGTTACCACTGTGCAGGCTGGTGGTGGTGGTGGTGTAATGGTGTGGGGGATGTTTTCTTGGCACACTTTAGGCCCCTTAGTGCCAATTGGGCATCGTTTAAATGCCACGGCCTACCTGAGCATTGTTTCTGACCATGTCCATCCCTTTATGGCCACCATGTACCCATCCTCTGATGGCTACTTCCACCATGTCACAAAGCTCGAATCATTTCAAATTGGTTTCTTGAACATGACAATGAGTTCACTGTACTAAAATGGCCTCCACAGTCACCAGATCTCAGCCCAATAGAGCATCTTTGGGATGTGGTGGAACGGGAGCTTCGTGCCCTGGATGTGCATCCCACAAATCTCCATCAACTGCAAGATGCTATCCTATCAATATGGGCCAACATTTCTAAAGAATGCTTTCAGCACCTTGTTGAATCAATGCCACGTAGAATTAAGGCAGTTCTGAAGGGGAAAGGGGGTCAAACACAGTATTAGTATGGTGTTCCTAATAATCCTTTAGGTGAGTGTATATGTATTGTTAAATACTGTTTTGACAACTCATATATTTACAATTAGGGCTGGGCGATATGGAGCAAAAAATATATCTCGATATATTTTGCTATATCTCGATATTCGATATATATCTCGATATCTTTACAGGAAAATGGATGTGAATACAACTCAAAATATAGGCCTACAATCAATAGAAAATTAATTTTCCATAACAGAATGTAACCAAATGAGAAAAATTAAACACAGGGCCTGAATTTCGTCATCATTATTAATCACGTGATTCATATACAGAAACTGAATAAAGTAATCAAATGGAAAATAACACAGTAGTATTTTAGTCCTGAATAAATTAAATGCATAGGTTATTAATCCTGATTCCTTTAATTTAAAGCTATCTTTTGTTGTATTGACAACAAAATTAATGACAGACACATATGGCTGCCGTCACTTTAAGAGCTAGTGCACGGATCCTGTGTTCATTATACTGGCATGCGTTTTATGCTTATTAAAGACAAAACCGACTATGTTTAGAGTATACTCACGACGACCGAAATTGACAATTTTGCGTGTTAAAGCAATATAATCCGCGAAAAATAACTTTTGTTACTGGCCAGCTGTTCTTAAGGCGGATTTTCAATGAATGTGCGCATAGAAAATAATCTCTCAGAGAGCGCGCGAGCACTGATTAGTTTAAAATCGCTTGAATGTTTAAACTGGTAAGACTTAAAAAGACGTGCAAATGGTAAACTTCAGTCACGATGCACTGCTGGCCCGATTGTGCGAGTGAATATCCATCATGTCCCGACTCCTAAACGCGAGTGTATGTTATGGCCGCAGCGCTTGATGCTTGCCTTGCACAACACATTATGAGAGAAGAGAAAGAAGACGCGGCACCGCTGAACACTCACGCTGTTTGTGAAATTGCGTCTGGCAGATAGTTGTTAAAAGAATGATTTGATTTTATAATCTGTGTGGATTACGATTGCGGGAATTTCCCGCATTATAAATGGGAGACCTGCGGGAATGATTAGAATTATGCGCAATACCCGCGCCGAAATTCGAGCCCTGCAATAGTTTAAAACAAGACGTTTGTAGTAGCCTTCTGATTACTGGAGTCCATTAATCGAACTTCCATGCCTCTTATATAGTAATTATATTTTGTAGTATGTAGGCTACCAATTTACTAATGCAATTAATGCTCACACTCGGTTTCTCTCGTGCTCTGTCGCTCGCGCGCAGACACACTCGGAGTTCTGTAGCCTCCGGGCTGGTTGCGGATGAGACAATTTTTGAATGAGACAACACGCGAGGTGAGGGGGAACAAAAGCAAGGAGGCGGGGGCGAGCACAGCACAGAGAAGGCAAACAAGCAAAGTGGCGAAATCAGGATTAAAAATAAACAATATATCGATATATACGATATGTCAAAATCCATATCGTGTTTAAAAAATATCTCGATATATTTTAAATATCGAGATATCGCCCACCCCTATTTACAATCATATATTCGTATAAGTCTTTGGGAAGACTTAATATGCAAGGTAAAAAGAATCTGAATTGTAAAATGTTTAAAATCATGTTACTAGCAGGAAAAAAAGGGAATTTTTTTTTTTTTCGTTTTGGGGGGAAAAGATGATGTAGGACAAGATAAAAATGTTGTATAATATGACCAAATGTGTATTTATGTCTTGCAACATCAAGAAAAAAAAAAAGAAAAGAAAAAAAGAAAAAAAAATCCAGTCATTCAGCAGCTTTTCTGCCACTCAGTCCAGCAACAAAGTGACGTCAATGCAAAGCCTCTATTTGAACATTGGCAATGACAATCTCACACACACACACACACACACACCTGTCTTTTTTGTGTTTCTTTCCGCTCTTCTTCCTCTTGTCTCTGCGGGTGGGAGAAGGGCTGTCAGCTCTGTGAGTCAAACAAAGACAGCAACGGATGAAATATCACTCCATCATATTCCTCCATTTTTTCATTGGCAAAATATCATTACATTTAAATGTTCTTCTTGGCCTTTTCACTCTTGCATTTTAGTGTTTCCTGCTACAGTGCGTCAAGCATTACTACTTCTCCTGCTTAGAGTCAGAGGTTTGATCAAATCACTCCATTACATATTAATAGCTGAAACAAAAGTTCATTTATTTCAGTAATTCAACTTAAAAGGTGAAACTAATATATTATATAGACTCATTACATGCAAAGTGAGATATTTCAAGCCTTTATTTGTTATAATTGTGATGATTATGGCTTACAGCTTGGGGTTTTCATAAGCTGTAAGCCATAATCATCAAAACTATAACAAATAAAGGCTTGAAATATCTCACTTTGCATGTAATGAGTCTATATAATATATTAGTTTCACCTTTTAAGTTGAATTACTGAAATAAATGAACTTTTGCACCATATTCTAACCGGTATGTGCAGTATATCGGCTGCTGGTGAACAATATGATGCTTTACAATATGAAGTCAGAGAGCAAACTGACCGACTGTGTCTTCTTGCCTTCTTCTTTTTCCTCTTCTTTGGCCGAGGGGAAGTTGAACTGCTGGATTTCCTTTTGGATCTTGTGTGGAAGACGAGACATGGAGCAGAGGAAAGAAATGCAGTGCTGGGTAATAATGTTATTAACGTTTTCCATTAGGTTCCTCTTACAGTTTTTTTACGATTGCTTACACACTAAAATTAAACTTTTCCCACAATTAGCAAAACCTTACACTCAAGGAGCAAAACACAAGGCTAGATTTGCAGCACATTGTCAGCTTCACACTATTTGCAAAACATTACACACAGTGATTTGCAAAACACTAAACAGGTAACGCTTCCTTTTACAGTCCTGTTACCCATGTACTTACTATGTACTTATTATAGTAACTATAATTACTGGGTAATAACTAGGTACTAACCCTGAACCTACCCCTAACCCATGTACTTACCTTATATTAGCCAGTACTTTCTAGGTAAGTACACTGTAAGTACACGTAAGTACTGTACTGTAAAAGGAAGCGTTACCACTAAACACACTTGTATACATCAGACACAGAAGTATATCATGATGTCACTTCCTTGCAATTCCAAAGCACTGACTGTGAAATCACCACACCTATGAGCCGATCTGTTAAACACAGCCGTCAGCTGCACACACACACACACACACACACACACACGACTGCTAAACTGTAGACACACCATTCAGGTTTACATTTTTTTCCAATTGCTAACACACTAAAATGACACGCACAGCACAATAATTTAAACTGACACACAGAGAGCAAAACCTCTTCTCACGTTTCCAAAAGTCTAAACACATTTTCTGCTTTACACACATTTTGCAATTCAAAATGGCACCTTTTAAATGCACTGAACACGGTTCTCTGCATAAGACACAACAATCTGACATAAAGTCACATGTTTGCTATTTCAAAACACTGCCATTCAAAATGAGACTACATGAGCTAACTGGCCAATACATGTGTGGCCAAACACCTCAATGGGTAATTGTTAACACTTCAATCAGGATGTAAGCACTATAAAAATACCACAGGTGAGCACTTTTTTTTTTCTTCTTTTTTTTTTACAACAAGAATGGAATTATTATTATATTATAATTATACATTTTTCTATTTATTTTTCCTGCAATTTTATTTTTCAGTTTACAGTTTTTTTGTGAGCATTTTTTTTATCAGTCCAATGTAAATATGTCTGTTGTGCATATGACTTGTATGGTGAAAAATAAAAAAATAAATGTTTCAACAGCATGTTTGTGTATCTGCAAATATTGCTGTGCATGTGAACAATCTGAAGAATTTTATACATTTTGAACTATTTTAGTATTATGGCAAAGCATATCTACTCAAGATGAGAGTGTTTTTCATTATGCCCAACAGTGTGTAATTGGTTAGACAAAAATCTGGTAATATGAATGAAGTGTGTGCCATTTCGTGCAAAAGTTTGATTTTGATAATGCTATGTGTAGTTTTGGTCGCAGTGCTTCATTTTGCTAGCCTGGTTAAAACCAGAGCATTCTCAGTTGTGGTCTGGCAAAGCGTCATAGACAAATCATTTCCAGAGGGGCGTCACCAACGGACGTCGCGGATAGACCTAAACCCAATCAGAGCGATGAAGGAGATGACGTATGCAGAGCGGCGGAGACACATCTCCGAGTGTTGTTCTTTGCTCGGTTTTTAACAAAAAGAAAACGTTCAAATCACTTAAAACATACGCGATAGCGGATTATAACGAGTGATGTTCGACGGCGGCATCCATCTTTGTAATGTAGGCTACAAAATCTGCTTCAAAATCCCAGCGCTGTCGTCATCGTGTAAAGCCAAGGGGGTAATCCATCGACCGGAAGTTGAAGCCGGCCTTGTAGCAGAACTTCACTTGCGTTAGCATTTCCATTGACTCCCATTCATTTTGGCGTCATTTTGACAGCGAATAGCTTTACATCTGAGGCGTTTAAAGACTTCATTTGTCCATTATTTATTTCTAAAGAAACACGACAATGTAAAAAGGGCTCCATTACCTTCTATGTTACATTATGGCCCCGTAGAAACAGATTTAGTAAAAATAGGCTAACGATTGCGTCATAACCACTCGACTCTCTGTCGCGCTGTACAGAAGTTACCGTACAGACAGGAGGAGAAGCTCGCAGGCAATCGGGGGGACGTCCCGTCAAGAGAGAAGCCCATAGATAATGAGTCCATAAAAGCAACGGAATACTTACTCCTGCTCACTCACGCCAAAGAACTCTTTGCTCAAGTTCCCCGTCTCTGCAAGATTAACGTTGGCCATTTTCACGCACAGCTACTAGAAGAGTAACGTCTGTCAGACAGGTTGCTCACGTCATCAAGCTTAGTTTGAGTCGGTCTGAGTCTGCGCGTCAGGAACGGAAGTGCTCAAAAATCGCTAAAAATGGGCTTCAAGTTTTGAAGACAGGCTAGAGTGACATCCCCCCCCCCCCCCCCCCAAAAGGACAAAGGGGGGGCGGGTTAGCAGGTCGCGGAATTGGGGGTGTGTCATTAATAATATTATTATTAGTGATTATGTTATTATTAATAATTGCTCAGACGTGCAGAAGAAAAATTTGACACATCACTGACAATTCAACCAAATACAAGTGTGAGAGAGAGATTATGACTGGTGTTATTTATTGTAAGTGTTTGTTGCCTTTTTGGACTCCTTTATCTAATGGGCCTACCCTTTTCGCCACCTTCTCTGGGCCAGCTTCCTCTAACCTGGCCTTTTTAGGGGGCTTTACTCTCAGGGAGAATGAGAGGATGCTTAATTGCTTTTTACCTGACATCTTTGAAAGAAAGATGCAATGATTAATGCATCCATGGCCAGGATATAATTATAAAATATGACATGATTTTAAAAGTCAACTATAACATCGACTATGCAATACACTTTAATTTATTTGGTGCTAATAAAATAATTAAGCCTATTTGGAGAGAGAAATGTTTATAATGTGATGGCTCTGTCCACTTCTTATACTGTCCATGTGTAAAGCCCGCCCCAACGTTTCTGATTGGTGCCTCGATTTCGGCGGATTGGAAATGGGCTTGAATGAGCTCTTTGCCAGACTAACTTTCAGAGCAAATCTAAGTTGTCTGGGTTTTCCCAGGCTATCATTTTGCAGGATATATGAGGGATTTTGCAGTTTGGGTGTGTGTGGTTTTGTGAATTGTGTTAAGTATTTTGATAAAACCAGACTAGTTTGCTAAACACTAGTATCAAAAGTGATAAAATAAAACAAAATTCTTTATCAAATGTATAGGCAAGACCAGTGGCGTAACGAGCCAACACCGGGCCCTTATGCAGGATTAACAAGGCGGGCCCCCTACTACAACACGTGATGACGCAATGTCCACGAGTAGGTTACCATGAATAGGACAGGATAGGATCATAGAGACACAGCATATAAGAGATGAGATGACTGACAAAATCAAGAGTAGCCTACGCGCACCACAAAAACAACAACAACAACAAAAACACTAGTGAATGGGCACCATAACACAAAAAAACACTGTGCTATCTTTTTAAAGAAGCTTCATTTTTGATAATTTACTCATTCATTTCTGGAATTCCTCTTTTCGTTTTCGCTTTTGAAAGCCACTTTTGTGTTTGTAATTTGACTACGACTCCACTCCATATCAATATTGTCTGTCTCAAGTTCAACATTTTTACTGTTTTGCACGCAACGCATGTTCACTTACCGACCCGGGGATTCCCCAGTCCCAATTCGAAAACAAATTACACCAAAATCCATCATTGTTCGTTTCACACATGTATTTAATGATCAGTAAAATAAGTTGTTGTCATTATTTATTCAAATAAATTCGCAATTAAGTAAAATGCGATCAGACTGAAAGTAGTAAAATGCAATAGGGGGCCCCGGCTGTCAATCAATATCTTCCAGTCACGCGGGCCCCTGATTGGTCCGGGCCCGTAAGCAACCGCGTACCCTGCTAACCGATAGTTACGCCTGTGGGCAAGACAAGTAGTTTGTTTAGGCATGGTTTGTAGGGAAATTACAAACCTGCGCACATATATTCAAACGAATATAACTATAGAATCTATTTTTAATGCGCATGTGAACGCCATCCGGTCACAGGTTCGCGTTTAAAGTCTGTTTAGAGAGAACGCCGTCGTCTTAGTGGCCCCTAATGTAATAACAAATGATCATTTTGCTGGAAGTGAATCAATCAAAACCAACTTTAGCTGGAAATAACATTATTCAAAAATCACTATAAAGCCAAAAGAATCTCTGTTACCATAAATTGTATGTTTCTCTCTGTAAAGCTGCTTTGAAACAATCTGCATTGTTAAAAGCGCTATATAAATGAAGATGACTTGACTTTGCAAAATTGTGTGTTAGCAATTGGAAAAAACTGTAAGCACTATAAAAATGCAGTAGGTTTTCTGATTATTTTTTATGTTTGTTGTTGTTGTTATGTACTGTGATTGTAACCTGTACAGCAGGGGTCTCAAACTCAGCTTAACTGGGGGCCGCTGGAGGTAGAGTCGGGGTCAGGCGGGGCCGCATCAAGTATTCCACAAAAAAATAGTATTCAAGTATTACAAAAAAGGAGCACAACTGATCCAGTCTTCTCAATCTTTATTATTGACGTTTCTTCTGAACTGTTCCTCTGAATTTGAACATTCCTTTCTGTACATGATTGGTTCTTCATGAGCCGTCCTTCTGACAGTTGAAGTTCATTTTACAAACTTTCTTTGTCTATAACACATATTTGTGATATTTATATTTGCTTATGTCCTTTTTATTTTCTTTATACAACACATTAATGATATTGAATGTTTTTTTTGGAAGGCACATTTCCTTTTATTATACTTAGAAAAACAATTATTGCTTTTGAAATACAAATATTTGCAGTCATGTCTGCCCGTCTTATTGAATTCTTTCTACACATGTATAGTGTCTCAAATTACTGACTCCACAAATCAAATCAAACCTTCTTATCAACCTGTTGGACACATATTACAAGCTCAAAGTGATTATTCTCACATTGTTTTAGAGCAGGGGTCTCCAACACGTCGCTTGCGAGCTATCAGTAGCTCGTGGCCTGATTGGTGGTCGCTCGCCAAGGGGCCGTTCTCATATCGCGCTCACATATTTTGCGCGCTCAAGTTCGTTATTTTTCGATATTTTCGCTCATAATTGAAGCGACGCGCTCGTTTTTTCCAGGCGCAGTATGTTTGTACTTCGCGGTTGTCTATGACAACTACTGACAACAAACCCACTGTAAGCTGTCACGAGACTATCTATGGTAGCCCATAAGGGATAAAAAAAAAAAAAAAATTAAAACGCGGCACACGCAACGACGGGCCGCACTAACATTAAACTTTAATGTCAAGTAGGGGGCCACAAAATATCACCCCGCGGGCCGCGAGTTTCAGACCACTGCTGTACTGGATACAGTCTCCTACGTGTGTCTGTTGTTTGCTGAGCTAACAGTGTTACACAACTGGGACATGTTTTGTTGTGATTCTCCATGTTGACTGATTTGCGTATATGGAGAGAAATCAATGATATTTCCCTCCGTCTGCAGCATTGGTCTTGTGTAGTGTTTCGTGAACTATTGTATAGTTGCACTTTCTCTGTGTACTTCATTTACAGTACTCTATCACTGAGAGTTACACTTGCTGAAAGTGTTTTAGGTTAGCAACAGCAGTGTGTAACTGGTTCAAAGTCATATGAAATGTGTGTGTTTCGTATGGTAACAAAATATTGTTTTTATGAAGTCGTGTATAGTTTTCCATTTTGCAAATGATCTGAAGTGTTGTGCTACTTTGGTGTAGGGTTGTGTTAACTGTGTGTAGTGTTTTGACAAAATTGTGCTTAAGCAATTGTAGAAAACTGTAATATAAGTAATAAAAAGAAAGCAGGTATATCTCGTCTATCTGCAATCTAGTTATTTTGCTTTATAGTGCATTAGTGAAAATTAAGGAAATTTGTATTCATATTTTTGTTCAGGGTCCAATTCTCACTATTAACTACGACTTTGCCTCAATAAACTCCTAATAACTGCTTATTAATAGTTAGTACGGTCGTTGTTAAGTTTAGGTATTGTAGGATTAAGATATGTAGAATATGATCATGCAGAATAAGGCATTAATAAGAACTAATAAACAGCCAATATCCT